CCCGCCCCCCGCCCCCCCAGCACGCGGGGCCCGGAGCTCGTCAAACCCCTGCCGTGCCTCCTCTCTGGACCGTCCTACGTGCCGGCACCTGAGCCAAGTTCACAGGTGAGGCGCCGCAGGTAAACGATGCCCTGCCCCCCACCCGGAAGGACAGAGCAGGGATCCACCCCTGCGTGACCTCTGACCCCACTACCACTCATTTCCTCTCCCCTGCTGCGCCGACCGACCGTGTCCCGAGCGCACAGGGCCAAGAATGGGGCTAAGTCAGGGGCTGGGCAAAGGGAGGGGAAGGGACAGAAGGCGGAGGGCCCAGGACTCTGACAGGCTGTCAATAAAACTCGTGTGACACGCCGCCCCCCCGGCATCCCTGCCTGCTGGGTCCTGGGACAGCCGTCCTCGTGCCCACCCCAGCCCTGGGGTCCCGCAGACCCATTCCTAAGGCGTGGAGAGGACCGGGCCCCTCCTCGGAGGACGCTAAGCACCGAAATGCCACCCAGGCTGGTGAAGGTGCACGTAGCAGCCTCAGAGCAGAGACGTGACGGCAGGGTGTGCTGGGGGCGGATGCCAAGGGACCCGAGTGTCTGTGCAGTTCTGGGAGCCTTGCCCTGTCTGGGCGCCAGCTCCCTCACTGAGAGAGGAGGGGCTCCCTGGGGTAGAGAGCTCGGGGAACCCCAGGTGCCCAAGATGCTTTCTGGGAGAAGGCTCCTGGGGCCCCATAAACCTGGGTTCAGAGGCTTTGCCAGCCCTGTCTTGGGAAGCTCCTTGAATTCCCACCACACGTTAAATGTTCTGACGAGTCCCGCAGAGAGGAAGCCTGTTTTGGTTGGGCTTAAACTAGGATCTTACCACTCTTTCTGATCCACGTGAACTGTTTTGGGCAGAAAGCCTACTTAGCATCCCAAGGAGCAAATGTTTATAGGTCACACCCCAGGGAATGCTGGAGAGACTCATCCTAGAAGTCTTTAGAGTTCTGACCTTCTAGAAGGTCATGGCTAAACTCTCTGACCGATGCCTCCACTCGCCCTGGCCCTTTCAAAGCTCCCTGGGGATCACAGAGGCCTCCATCCGTCTCCAGAAACAAAGCCCTTCACTGGGTCTACAGCAGAAAGCTGTTTCTTTGACGCGGCCTTCCTTGGACAAGGACACCCGGCCACCTGGTCCCCAGCCTGTGCCTCCCAGGACACTCAGCCCCGGCCTCTGGTCCAGGTGGCTACTGTGCTGGGTCCCTTGCAAACAGGCTCGGTAGCAGCTCCTTGTCCACACTAGGCCCGTCTGTCTCAGGGGACCCCAACTCATCAAATCTGCTTCACGCGGCACCCCCCGCCCCCGGAACTCGGGTCCCCATCGCCTGAGCGGGGCCCGAGGAAGGTGACCGGGTGGGGGGGCGGAGAAGGAGGCTGGGGCTCATCCTGCCTGGGAAATCCCAGGCAACGAGGGAGGCTGCCAGGTCGGGCAAGCGTGAGTGGAGCATACACTTGGCACTTGACTTCGGGGTGGGTGAGGCCAGAGTTTCCGGTTAGTTCTGAGATGCAAGCTCGGGGGGTTATGACGGGTTGCCTCGGACACCGAGCTAGAAGCCGGGTTGAAGGGAGAGCCAGGATGCGTATCTGGTTGGTCCGGTCGAAGACAGGACCGGTGAGCACCAAGGTGATAGAGTTGACCCTGGCGCCGGGGTCACTCACACCAGGGCTTGAGTTCGCAGAAGGGTGGCGTCACTGCCACCGTTCCCTTTTCGTTACCCTGCGTCCGTGCTGCAAGACGTAGGGTCCCTTCTTCCGTAGCCACGTGTGCTCAGAAGACAACTTTGCCGGCACAACAGCGTCCTGCCCACGCCCCCAGGTCACCCCAGCCGGCAGTGGGGCGGGGGGTGGGGGGGTGGCCAGACAGATCCGAGGTTTGGATCAGCCAGCGTGGGGGTGTTTCAGGGGTCCTGCTCCTCCAGGGGGGTGGGAAACGGAGACCGCTCACTAGCTGCCGAGGAAGAAGCTCCCCCCCGCCCCACACCCGCCGGACGCCCCTGTCCCAACATGCAGGACCTCGCTCACTTAGTGTTGTCGGAGTCGATGGTGTGGAAGAGAGCCTCCAGATCCTTGTCATCGAGAACGCCATCTGCGAAGAAAAGCTGGAACTCCTCCAGGGACAGCTTCCCATCGTCTGCGAGGGAGGGAAGGAGAGAGGGCAGCCGGTGTCTAAGAGATAAGACATCCCAGATCCCGACAGTCCCCCGGCCACCGCATCCCAGCCAGATCCTCTGTGCCTGCCCCGGGACTGCCCGAAGTGACCAGCACCCTCCAGCGCACAGAAAATCCCCACCTTCTCCAGCTAATTCCCAAGCCGACGCATCAACACCCTCTCGCAGCTAATCCCGGAACCCACGGCGACTACAAGCAGTAGCCAGTTGGCTCAGGCTCACGACGGCCACGGTCAACACACACACAGCCCCTGCTCCCTGCCGGCTCATCTCTCCCCTGACTCGCCCGAGCACCTGCGGTGGGTACCGTCGAAGGCAGCAGCACGGCAAAGCCGGGCCGTCTGAGGACCCTTCTCTCTTGCTTCCAAATGCCCAGACAACCCCCCCACCCATATCTGCATCATCTCCAGCCCCAGCACCCAGGTCCTGGCTCAGGGGAGGGGACACCCTCTTTCCTCTCTGCCCCGTCCGTCCGCAGGGCAGACCCCGGGCCCACACCTTCACAGCTGCCAGCAGGGAGGGACTTGCCACCCTGCCACCACGAAGACACCAAACCGCAAGGCAACGAGGGGGCGGGCCTGGCGGGGGGCCAGCCTCTGTGGTCCTGAGATGGGAGGGGCCCCACGGGTCACTGAGGGGCTCCAAGCAGCCAGCGACTCTGGGAGAGGCTGACCGAGCTCCCACCCTCAGCAACTTGCACTTGGGCACACCTGCTGCGAGCTGACCTCTGCCCCCTGCAGCCACGACCCCTTCCTCAGGGAGCTCACGCTCCTTAAAGGAGCCGCGTCTGCGGCGGGCAGTTGGAAGTGAGGGAGAGGGCAGCCCCCAGCCCCTCCACGCAGACCTCCTTCCATTACTTCCAGCCAGGCTGCAATCAAAGCCCCTGCAAGCCCACGAGGGAGGGTACGTCTGCGTGGGTTAGAAAGGGATGGCCCTCCTTGGATGGGAGGGAGAGGCAGGTGTGGCCCCGTATCAGGACTGGGCCGGGCATGGAAGGCAGGCTGGATCTGAGGTCCTCCCTTCCATCCGGAAGGGGCCGGACCATACACGGCAGGCCCAGCTGGGCCCAGAGCAGAAGGATTCTCTTGTATCGTATTTTTTAAGAGTTTTTTTTTTTTTAAGTTATCTATTT